CGTTTCGGTTGTTGATTAAGATTAGTCAGGATGGGCCTCAGTTATTTTCCTTCAATGCTATAGATTCGTGGTAGAATACTACACACTTTCAAATACTTTACACAATTCTACATATACATATACACATGTGTGTGTAAGCATGACAAATGTCACAGAATTTTGTGGTACCATATCTTGTATTCTTCTACCTTCTATTAGCCCACCTGCTGTTGATAATTGCTCAGCTCACCTTGCCAACCTCGGAGTACGGAAATCATAGGCGAGGCTTTACGATCTGAACTGTTTCAATTAATTCCATAATAGATCCTTTCATTTCCTGGAATACCACCGTGTCCAGGAATGCAGTAAAGATTAATTGCGTGTTATCGAAGAGCTTGCTGCGACCGTTTTAACGTATATTGTCTTAAAAACGGCTAGAGGAGTTGAGCACAAGGTTGCTAACGACGCGTATAGACGTGCTTTTCGTTGCACCTTTTGCTGGTTCACTAAATTGCATTTGGTGTCAACTGATTCCTTCAATGTACCCACTATATTAGTTGAGGCCGTATCCCTGTCTTTTACAATAGTAATTTTGCAGAAGTAGCGCGCATTAAACGCTTTTCTGGAGCGCTTTTTGGCATTCCCATTCTTGCGATTTCTAAGGAGGCATTGACGCCTCTTGTACTACACATATTGTCGGTCCAAAGAATGATCAGTGGATCTAGCCTTACAGCAAACATGGCGCAGTGTAGTGTTGTTAAAAAAAAAATCGTAGCAAAAAATAAAAATTAGTTATTACTTTAAATTCGTATGCATATTTAATATTTTAAAACAAAACGTTACAACTAAATTTCACTAAAATGTTTCCTCTTTTAAGTATATGTATATGTTGTATTATACTTGCTTCTTTTACAGTGGCATTTGCGAAATACCGAACTTATAGAACTAAACATTTTGTGGAACGTAACTCATCACTTTCGCCATAACAGGTGAAAATTTACATTATTTGAGAGTATCGATAGTTCGATTTCTATGGAATATTACCTCTGTTGAGTCGCTTTTTATCTGTGGCAACGAATTCATCGTGGAAGTAGGTCGACACGCAGTCATTGTTACCTTTTTGCACAACTTTGTACCCCTCTCTCACATTGAATGTCTCTGTCTGTTATGCGAAAATTTGTCGGGTGGTGCCCATTTATAATGCAGATGTTTTTGGTCAGACGCTTCTTGCACAATTTGCAATAAGAGTAAAAATTTAGATCTTGAAGCCACGGCCTGTTTACCACATTTTTGAAGTTATTTACAAAAAGTGAATAGAATAAAATTATAGTTTAAAAAACTAAAACCTCCCTATTATAATTGGCATTCGTACTGTCATCAGGTATTTAACTTGAGTATAGCAATCGCTGCATCTTTTAGGCGCATTAATATTACATAGTTACATCTCGAGCTAATAAGAGGAAGGTAAAAATAAAAGGATATAAGCAAAGATGTGAAAGATAAAAACAAAGATGAAGACCAAGGTAAAGTTACCGATTTCAAAACCAAAAACACCGTTGGAAAGTTAATTTTCTGTATATGAGGAGAGTTTTTATAGTTTCGAAATTGGTTGAAAATCGTCGTTTAAAAATTTCCATATTTGTGTATGNGACCTTCTCAAAAAAAAAAATTGGTAATGTTTTAGCAGAGATTTTCCGGTTAGTTAATTTGTACCGTATAAGTTTAGCTACGTGTTAAGAAAAACTGTCGAATTTCGACAGTAACTGGCACTCTAGTTAAATATAAAAAGCGTAGTAAAAATTTGATAAAGCGTAGTGGGGTAGCAAATTTAAAATTTTTTGAAAAATCGTAGCAAATTTACTACGATCTTAGCAAAGTGCCAACGTTGCTCGCAACCACCTTGGGCATGCTTTTTTCAACCGGTCTACCTAAGCACGTTAAGCCTTGCTGGAGTTTTCTGAAACAAGGCAGTGCATGGTATGTACTGGGCGGGTCGAAACTATTTGCCATCCTACTTTCTTTAGAAACAAAGACAACTCTTATCTCCCTCTATGACTTCGTTATATACATATGCACGTATGTAAGTATTTAGCTAAGGAGTAGACTAGCCCTATAAATTGTGGTTAGCAGATCTAACAGTCCAAGCCACCTTACGCCCAGTGAAAACATATTTAACTACATATACACATAGATCGTTTTGTTTCCTAAGCAAAACATCATAATTTGGAATATTTTTTTATTTTCATATTGCTAGGTCTTTTCGTAAGTCGCGCCAATAGTGGTTTGAGAGAATGAGTATGTAAATATAAATATGTTTGTATGTATATTTATTAATGCAGTGATTGTGAGTATGCTGTGTTCAGGTATAGTTAGTACATATTCCCAGTATGTATGTAAGTAAATATGTTGTACGTATGATGGTGTCACTGCACTGCAATGCGCATCATAACCACCAACTGATGGAATTAAAAAATCACAATAACACTTAAATTTTATATTCCACGATTTCAAGGATGTAACTATGCGAACTTACGTACATATGTACATTAGGGTTGTCCAGAAACTGCTCTTACCACCTAGGATTATCCCATATCGAAACAATATACGCATGTTTTTTTTAATTTCGAAATTAAAAATATTCAGAGGTATTATTATTCGAGGTCTCTTAAAACAAAGCGGAGTTTTCGATCGAAAAATATTGATTTTCAAGAATTCCATAAAATTTCTACGAAAAATGTTTTTTTTTTTCTCATATAAAATACATGGAAAACTTTGACTGACCTCTAAATATTTATTTTTAATTTAAAAACAAGTAAGAAAGTCTAAGTTCGGGCGGAGCCGAACATTAAATACCCGGCGCAAGTGTTAAATATATGTTTTTTAACCTTCCGAAACCTTCCGCTAGATGGTAAGCCGAGGTGTATCAATTTTGAGTAAATTAGCGTCCTTCAATTTCGAAATATTGAAGTTTCAAGCATTTCTTAAATTTACCGTTATATGAGAATCGGC